CTGCCAGGCCTTCTCAAACAGGTAGTCTGGATGCTTAAGCTGTTCTTAGAGAGTACAGAGGTATCTCTGATAAGGTACTTTCCTCCGTCTGGGGATGGACCTGGCCGGATGCTGCCAATGACAATAATTACAGGGAGGCTAGAACTGGGGCTCCGGCTGTGCATAGCTGTCAGCACAGGTTATCTAAATATTCCTTTAGTAGAGGGGAAATGGTACCCAGTAAACGATGGAAAAGCTACAATAGCACACAAGAAACTCATAGCAGGAAACAGCTGATAATCAAAAGCCAAATATCACCAAGGCTCCTTGAGCCTCAGCTTGACCTCTGGAAGGCCTTTGGCTTCTTCCAGGTATTAGCTTTGTCATAATCAGGTGAAATCCTACTTTGTATATTTTTGCGCCTTGCAGCACTCTGTCAACCCTTAATTGCCATCTTTCTGAGCATTGAAGTCTAAGTGTTCTGTAAGCGGAAGTTTCTGCCCCGCCAGCAACTCCCAAATACCTGGCAGCTGATTCCCAAATAATTGACACAGAGGCTTAATATTACTTATAAGTGCTTGGCCCGTAGGCTTACTACTAACTAGCTCTTACACTTGAATTAACCCATAATTCTTATCAGTGCTTAGCCACGTGGCTTGGTACCTGTTCTCAGTATGACATTCTCATCTTGCTTCCTCTGTGTCTGGCTGGCGACTCCTAACTCTGCCCTCCTTCTTCTCATCATAGGCTTTCTCACCTAACTCCCTGCCCAACTACCAGCCTGTCAGTTTTTTATTAACCAATGAGAGTCTTCATATTCATAGTGTAGAGAAGGATTGTTCCACAGCAGCGACCTTTGCTCTTCTTTCTGTACGTTGCTTATTTCATGCTATGTTCTTTCTCTGAAAGTACATCCATCCTCCAGTCTTATGACCATATGTTTCTAGTTCATAGAGCTCTTCTGGGCTGCATGTTAACACATTCAGTTTCTACCGGAGTTTTGCACATGGAAGTCATGTAACTATGTGAAAGTCAGTATATGTGAACTATAATTCTTTTTTTATAAATTGATTCCTTGTAGGCTTCACATTATGCATCCCGACCCCATGAACCAACCATACTTCTTTATAAACCCTTGCTGGATTTCTTTCTGTGTTCCTGATTTAAACATCCTGCATCCTAAGTCACTCAAGCCTATGGAAAGAGAACATAGGTTGGGCTGCCTGCATTGTAAGGTCCTGGGTGTGATAAATATTTCTTTGACCACACTCATAGAGATTTTAATTTAGTAGTTCTGGTACTGACTGTAGAATGAAAAAAAAATTATAGTTATCCAGGTACTTCTGATGAAGAACTGGTGTGAATCCAGCTGTTAGATTCTGCAGTTAGAATATACTCCGCATCCATCCCAGACATTTATATTTTCATTACAGTCCTTATGCTATAGATGTCTAGATCGTTCCTTGTCATTTCAGTAGCCTTCCACATGCTGTCACTATTGCATTTCTTTTCTATCAATCCTCACATTTCTTTTTTCTTTGTTTGGTTTTTTCGAGGCAGGGTTTCTTTATGGAGCTTTGTGCCTTTACTGGAACTTGCTTTGGAGACCAGGCTGGCCTCGAACTCACATAGATCTGCCTGCCTCTGCCTCCCGAGTGCTGGGATTAAAGGTGTGTGCCACCACCGCCTCGCAATCCTCACATTTCTATAAAGAATTATCTTCCTAAAGTTAGGTGGGATAATGTCACACACTATCAAAATTATTTGATGGATTTTACTTCTTAGAAAATAAAAATGTAAACTTAGTACAGCCTTTCTAGTTACCCCCAGACTCCTGATTGCATACTTTTGCCCACTTTTTCTTCTCATTTCCTAAAGTCAGGCTGTTAATACTTTAATTTCTCGTCAGCATCCTATGACAGCATCCCACGGATTTCTGTTTCAACTATGGCAGTCTCAGTTCCACAGAGAACTAGGCTAGCTTCATTCCATCCGTCTTGCTGTGATGTGAAAACCAGTTAGAGGTGATGTCATAGTCTGTTTGCCTTGCTATAACAAAAATACCTTAGTTGAGGTAGTTTATAAATAAAGGAAACTTGTTTTTCATAGCTCTGGAGGCTAGGAAGCCCAAGGCCCAGCTGGCCGATGTTGGATATCTATATGTATGACTTGTGTACTTCCTGTCTCTGTTGACATCACTCAACTCTTTATGGACTTGGAATTCTGTTAATTAATTAGCTAATATATTGATTCTAGATATCACATGGACGTGCAGGCCCTGATGCTCCCACCTAACTAGGTATATGTACAGTAATCCACGTGCTATGATGTAGACACAAGTGGTTCTGATGGGTTTGTGGTGACGTAGTGATGTGTGCAGAACTGGATCTCAGAGCCAGGCTCCATACTCACAGCATTATAAAGACCTTCTTCCTGTCTGCTTGTCTAATATATATCAGCACATCACATCTAAATACATATTTTAAAAGAATTATCCGTCTACCATGTGAGAACACATGTTATTCTAGCATGTCTGAAAGCCTAAAACAATTCTTTTTTTAAAAATAATTTATTTATTTTTTGTTTAATGTTTTTTCCATTGGTGTTTACGTACATGTATGTCTGTGAGGGGGTGTTGGGTCCCCTGGAGCTGGAGTTACAGACAGTTGTGAGCTGCCATGTGGGTGCTGAGAATTGAACCTAGGTCCTCTGGAAGAGCAGTCAGTGCTCTTAACCAATGAGCCATCTCTCCAGCCCCACCTAAAACAATTCTTGATACTTATTAGACACTCGATGAATGAATGAACTGGTGAAAGTCACTTTCCAGGATCTCGAACTGAAGTATCACTCTCCGTGTTCTCTTCTTCAGTGTCATCGTGTGCCAGTGAGCTGAGTTTGTTATGCTGGATAAAGATAGAATATTGTTCAGAACTCCGTTTTTTTAAAGGAGACATTGGAAAACAGAAAACATTTACAAATTAGAATCGATATATTCATCCTTGAAATAGAACCAAATTTTACAATTTTTAAAGGAAAATAATAGAAGTCTTCCAAGCATTTTCATGTCAGTGACTTCCCTCTCAGGCTGTTATGAGACACTTTGGACGTGCCTGGAACCTTGGTGGCCTCTGAGTCTCAGTCTAACCCTCTGTGGAGGTCAGAGTTTGGACAAGAGCAGGACTCACAGGCTCCTTAGGAGTGGCCCTGTGGGTGAACGGGGGAGACTGGGAGCTAGGAGCTCTAGGCTTTGCTACTGCATAAACATGGACTCCATTATCAGACTCAGGTAATAACCCTTCTGCTGTATGTACAGCTGGAGTTTTTAAGCTGTCAGACATTGCGAAGATTCATTTCTGTATTCTGACTGTGCCCTGAAATTCTTGCCGTCCTTTAAAGACGTTTATCTGTCTGATTCCACTGGGTGGCAGTGTTTCATTGGTGCTCTCGTGTGCAGTTTGTGTGTGACCTCACTCTGTCTCTCTTCCTCTCTCCACTTCCTCTCTCTGGCTGACCTGAAAGTCAGTGTGAAAGTCAATATGCAGACCACTCCGGCCTTTCACTCACACAGACCCACTTGCCTCTGCCCCCCAAGATCTGGGATGAAAGGTGTGCACCCCCACATCCAGCTTGTTATAGTTTAAATGAGTTCCTCTTTCTCTCCCAATCCTCTTTTTCTCCCTGTTTCTACATGCCCACTGCATCCCAAGGAATTCTAAAACAAATTTCCCATTCAGTTAAAACAGAGAGTTTCATAAGATTTGGTACTTCTAGAATGATTTCATGTGAGAAGAAATAAAGTATTAGTTTTATGTTGCTCCAAAGTATGTAAATTACTTTGATGTGGTAATTAAGATCAGTTAAAATATCCTTAAAAAAAATCCTGGCATTTGTTCTTTCTGTGTGCTTTAGCAGCTATATTTAAAATAAACTCAGGTTGTACACAGCTTGTTATAGAATCTTTGGGAGTGTGTGTATGATGTGCATGCATATATGTGTGTGAGCATGGGCACACATGTAGAGGTCAGAGGGCAACCATGGCTGTTGATCCGAGCCTTCTACCCTGTTTGAGTCGGTTGTTGGCTTCTGTGGATGTCAGGCTGGCTGGCCTGTGAGCTTCTGGGCAGTCTCCTGCCTCCTCCCATCTTTGGGAGGTTAGCACTGGGATGACAGATGTGTGCTAGAGCGTTCAGCGTTAAATGGGTGGTGGGAATCCAAATTCAGTTCCTCACCCTTGTGCGGTCAGGGCTCCGTCCACTGAGTCATCTCCTGAGTCCTTATGCGGACGCTTCTGACAACGATGCGACTGTGCCCTCTATGTCAGATCACCCCACTGTTGTCACACCTGTGCCTTGGAGACCATGGTGACAGGGTCGAGACGTGCGTTATCGTGGCTTCTTACTGGTTCACTCTGTGTCAGAATTTCCTGGGGAGCTAATTCAACGAGATGAATTGCATGAGAAAAGTGCCGTGTGAACCGCAATAAGTGAATCCTTGCTGATGTCTGTTGATGTTAAGGCTTCTCTATGAGTGAACATCTGTGTGTGTTACAATATTCTTACCCTGTTACAAAGGAGAAATTTAAGAGTTATTCAGCAGTGTAGTGACTGTTAGTGTCCACTCAGGTGGGGGCAGTTTTGATAGCACCACAAGTACTGCATTTTATCCAAGAGAAAATAGCTGCTTTGAAATATTAGGCCGTTTAAAGTTGTTTATAAAATTTGATCCAGATAGAGGTTATGTTTGCTTTTAAACAACTGAAACATGATACAAAAATCTTAATTGCCTTTTGCCAAATAAACCCTTTGCTGTTTTCAGGAAGGAAAAAGGTCATTTTACTTTAAAATGTCTAGAGTATGTTTCTGAAGCATGTCCCCCACCTCCTCACTTACCTTTTTTTTTTTTTTTTTTGAGTTATGGTCCCATGTAGCCTAGGTTAGCCTCGAATTCACTATACAAGGGAATGACCTTGGTTTCTGAGTCAACCAAGTCCGCCTCTAAATCCCATAGGGTTACAGGTGTGTGTCATCAGACCAGTTTTCCTTTTTGTCTTTTGTAAACTACATCCTTGTCCTATACAGAACCATGAGGACTTGTGGACATTATGTGGGTAAGTGCTGGGGACGGCATATAAGATGCCTGACTTTCTGCCAGCAGAAACTGGAGATAAGGGACCCGAGATTGTGGACTGCCAACCCTCCGCGTGTTCGCCTCTAGATCTTCTGCTTTGCATGCCTCTAGAGGGCCAAGGCAGAAATGCCTACGTGTCCCAAGGTCGTGCTTTATGGCATGCACATGTCATGTTCTCCATATAGTTACTTCTTGGGATGCTAGTCTTTTTCTTCTATCTGATCTTCATGTTCTGTGTTCCTGGACCAACGGTACTTGCTGTGAAACGGGATGGGAATGAAACAAATATCATGGGAAATTATACAGAGATGATCACCCAGGCTGGGGTCAAGGCAGTTATGCAGGTCATGGGAAAGAACCTGCAGCCTGGGGAAACTTTTCAGGCTTGGATAAACTGTACCAAATGTGTGGTCAACTATAGCACATGGTATGATGTGTATCAGCGCACTGGACTCAAATTGGCCATGATGAATAATTCAGTTTCTGAGGATATTCCAAAGGCATTGTATAAAACTTGAGACCCTAAGGGGTGTGGGCTGAAGACTGTGGATGGAGTAACATGTAGATGGGATGACAAACTAAAAGTGTGGGAACCTAGAATAGGAGGAAAATAGTGGCCTCCACCAGGAAAGGGAGATGGCAACTTTAATCCAGATATTTTGATTCCTCCTGAAGGAGTGTGGAGACAATGTGGCAGTGGCTGGAGTGATTGCTGCAAGTTTTATTGGGTTCCTAGATTGAAAAGAGCTGCCAGGAAAGGTGAGCTTCCTTTCATGGAAGCTCTGAAAATTGGATCAGGTCTTCCTTGGAAGTGTTGGGATAAGAAAGAAAAGTCGCTGACTTACAGGTGCAGGTCTCTTGTCTGAGGTCATTGTGGCCCACAGGGCTTGTCACAGGGCTTGGTGTTTGCAGAGAGCTGAGGAGGAACTTAGGCAGCTGCAGAGGTCTTGAGGTCGGAGCAGGCTGTGCGAGAAGGAAATGATTGTCTGGTACATTAACCACTGTTCTTATTTTTACCTTTTTTGCGAAATTGCATGTTGCTAGCCTCTGGGTCAAGTGCTCAGAAGATTGTATAATCATTAATAATAAAAATAGATTATGCTTGCTTTGGTGTTAAACCTGGGATAGTTTCTGTGTTTAATCAAAGATGATGAAGAATATATTGGTGATTTTCTAAGAATAATCTTTGGAATCATGAGAACACTCCGTATTGGGTGATTTCCGCTTTTCTGTTTCCCCTTGCTTATGAAAATAAAAGAGTGAGGTTACCAAGGCAAAAGCAGAAGCTGTAGCAGAAGCTACTTAGCAACTGCAGAAGCCTGAAGTGACCTGTCAGCTTGCATGAGCACTGTCTCTGAGTCGTTACTAAGCCTTCCAGGTATCCCGTCCTTCAGACCCCCAAAACTGTTGAGGCTGGTCCCCGGCAGGTAAGTCTTTAAAACCTGTTTCTGATGAGTTAGTTCATAATTTTGCACTGATTTATAAAGGATATTGTAAACCACATAAAGTGAAAAACCTCTTCAATTTCATCATCATTATGCATTTCTGATGTTTTGAAAATCACCTTTGAATTCATTTCTGATAAAAGACCAGTCCCTGTTTGTCTAAGGGGTAAAATGTGTCAGGAATGGTGACTTTCATTTTTAGGAAAGGATTCCAGAGACCCCACACGATTTCTTTGTCTATAAATTTGAAAATGGAGGTGCTTGCCAATGAGTTAGTTAAGAAGATTCATGGAAGGTGAACAAGTGGGTTCTCCAGGACTCTGATTAATGTACCAGTGTGGAGATAGAGTGTGTGAAAGCCAGAGTAACCTTCATCAGGTCTCTTCCTGCTCAGTTCTCATCAGGAAGCATGTTTGTTAAATTTTCTGGCAAGGAAAAATAGGGAGAGTCAGTAATTTGTTTGAGGGAATTAGTATTCAAATATGTTCTCCCCCAAATAGGATTAAACCAGTAAGAAGAAATCAGTAGAAATGAACTCTTATGTTTGCATTATTTTACAAGAATAGAAAAGAAGAAAATTATTTACCTTTAATGTAATCAAGAGGAAAGATTTTGGAGTTTTAATTACTTTCAATTTTCAGGAGCAGTTTCCATGGTTTGACCAGGAATTTTTGTAAACTAGATGAATTACTGGGAAAAAAAAATCACATGGGCCCATATGGAGTTACTGTTACTATGATCTTGTCTGGAAACACAGTCTGCACAGAGCTGTTGTCCAAATCATCTAAACATGTTTCAGTAGTGTTCTACAAATTAGTGTGCAGATTTTCCTGCAAGCTAGAAGGATTGGGATTTGCTAGAGAAGAGTCATAGATAAGAGCTGCTACTGAGTTGTGGAACACCAACTGTGTTAGTTCCTGTGTTAAATCCTTTTAATGGACTATCTAATTGATTCCCTTGTAGCAACCCCATGAGGTTGTTAGGACTATTTGTCCTTTTTCTGCAAGTGAGAAGACACAAGCACAGGTTGCTTAAATGATTTTCTCATTACTGACTATGTACAAACAGTAAACAAGGCACTCAGCCTTCTCTATTGTTAGATTCCACATCTGGCATCTACCAACCAACCCTGAGTCAAAAATATCTGAAAAAATTGCATCTGCACTGAACACGTACAGACTTTTCTCTAGTTACTAGTTCTTAAATGATAAAGTGCTACAACTATTTTTGTCTCCTTGGGGTCATATTAGGTAGCACAAGAAGCCTAGAGATAGCTTGAAGTATACTGAGGATGTGCATATGTTATATGCAAATGCCCCACCACTTTATGTAAGAGCATGAGCATCCCTGAACCCAGAGAGATGACCGTAGGGCTTGGAATGAAGTCTGAGTCCGAATCATGAGGTCACACTTGAGGTCTTCTGGGACAACAGCATGATGAATATGTAGAGGAGGGCTTCACCAGAGGATGCCATGGTTTTGAGTATCACAGGCAGGTAAAAAAAGATGAAAAATTAATGTGGCAGTTAGGAGATGATTTCATTTAAAGTTTCCAGTGGAGTACTGAGGAAAAATACCATATTGTAGTGTTACCAAATGAAGAGTAATAGGGAATGGGAGTGTTGGGTGGAGGCAGGCTAGCCATAGAAAAGGTAGTTTAAAAGAAATGATGGTATAGCTGGGACCGGTGATGTAGGCTGATACTCTCAGATACTCAGGGGCCTGTTGCAGGATGATCATAAACTCGGAGCTTATCTGGGCCACGAAATGAATTTAAGGCTAGTTTGGGTGGCTTAGTAAAACGCTGTCTCTAAACAAAATAATTACAAAGTAGGCTGGGGGAAGAGCTCAGTGGTAGAGCAATTAGCATGCTTGAGGCCCTAGGTACAATTATAAGTGGTGGGGGAACAGTTGGAAAACTAGGAGAGGATGGATTTGGGGGGTGGCTTAAGGCACGGGTTTGGAGGAGAATCCCGTATTATAGCAAAGAGTTTGTAAAAGTAAACACAGTTAAGAACCAGAAAAAGAATCTGTTTATGTGTATGTGAGTACCCTCAGTTTTTTTTTTTATCAAGTACATTAAAGTGATGTTATTTTATTATTGATTTACTTAACTAGAAGTTAAATATATCTAACAGTGTGATGTACTGGCGGACAGGAGGGATGGCTCAGCAGGTAAGCGCCTGCTGCACAAGCCTGACAACCTGAGTTTGATCCTTGGGTCCCACGGAGGAAGACGAGACTGAGGTTTCCTTTAACCTCTCCATGAGCTCTGCAGCACGCTATTCATGCGTCATATGCACACACATCCATAGTAGCTCTAATAAACAAAACTTTTGAGTTAAGTCAGGTTGTCCCACAGATGTCTTCATTGCAAAAGATGATGTACTTACCATGGGAATCATTTGCTTCTCCCCATTTTCCATAGCTAGTAGAATTTTTTATCTTACTCTAATGCTTAGCCATTGACCTATATATAAATGCCGTTAATTGTAGGTTAATTGTAGATGAGTGAAATCTTTTGGAATAAGTTGCCATGAGAGCATCAGCTTTTCTCCTAAAATGGGACATTCAACTAATTGGCATGTGCTTCTTCCTTCTTCGGGGTTCCAGATATGAAGCTGAGGGGTCACCCTCTCTGGATGGGTTGACAAGCATGACAACAGAGTCTGTGTGTTCAGGGTGACAAGGCTTTGGGTTTTACAAGGAACTTAATATTGACTGGTTCTGGGCCGTCTCGCTTTCCATCCTCATTCTGTGGGACAGACTTCAGTTTACGTCACCACCATTAATAATTTTTTTCAGGTGTAATCCTACACCTGTGTTATTTGCAATGATGGCAAATTCTAAGAAACAGCCCCATAACATTTATCTGCAGAGTTATGTTCTAGAAATGTGTTGTTAGACAACTTCATCATTGTACAAACATCAAGAGTATACTACAGAAACCAAGATGTAATAACCTTCGTAGTGGTATAACTTTATGGGATCATCCTCATAAATGCAGTGTATCATGGGATAAAAATCTCTGTGTGAGCCGGGCAGTGGTGGCGCACGCCTTTAATCCCAGCACTTGGGAGGCAGAGGCAGGCGGATCTCTGTGAGTTTGAGGCCAGCCTGGGCTACCAAGTGAGTTCCAGGAAAAGCAAAGCTACACAGAGAACCCTGTTTCGAAAAACCAAAAAAAAAAAAAAAAAAAAAAAATCTTTCAGTGACTTGAGCTCCCTAGTTAAGTAGACCCTCTTTTATATAACACCTCATTGAAAGGCTTTAAAACAACGTAGTTTATTATTTTTCAAGAATAGTTTAGTGTTTAAAAAAGTTACATGTGAAAGCTCAGTCCTCTACCACAATTAGCTTTGCATTTCTAGTTCCTTTCCAGGAACTAGATCAGGGTCGATTGATGCTCACTGTAGCTGCATGTCCATAACACTCCTGAAATACATTGTGTAGCAGAAGCTGATGCATAAAACCGATGGTTTTGACAGCAGAACTAGATCAACTGAAGGGAATGTTTTATTAAACTACTTAATCTACATTGTAAAAAAAAAAAACTTAATTGAAGAGATATTTCATGCCAGAATACTCACTGTGAAACTGCTACAATGAATGTTGGCCAGGCTGTGTTAGGGTGGAGTTGAAAGCAAGATAATTCTTCATGTTCTGAGGAATTCCTGGCATCAGTATGATGGCTCTATGCTCTCTGCATCCTAATACTGGCTGTGCTGAGATTCGGCTACCTAGGAGGATACTGGCTTGCGGCTCAGTGCTGGGAGTACACTTGTTTATACAAAGGGGTGAGGTGGAAGCATTTTCATAGGCTTCTGGGTATGTCAAATGAAGCAGCAAAATATGGTTTGGAGCATTTTTTTAAAATTAATTGGTTTTTTTTGTGTGTGTGCTCCCTTGTGTATGTATGTGGGCACTTCTGTGCCATAGCACATGTATGGAGGTCGGAGTATAACTTTCAGGAGTTGCCTCCCTCCTTCCATCATGTAGCTGTCAGGGATGGAACTCAGGTGGTCGGTCAGGCTTAGTGGCAAGTGCTCTTACTTACTGAGTCGTCATCTCAGAGACCTAACATTTGCTTTATTTAGCGCGACTAACAGTAATGTAAGCGTTGTATCTACTTTTAAAACTTGGATTTGTGTTCATGTGTTAAACACAGTGAAATCGCTAGTCAGTTCTGGGAGAGCTACAGAGAGAGGAAAAAAAAATGACCTGTCAATCTGACAACAATAACAAAAGTCTAGACACAACTGTAAAATTGTTTTAATGGCAATAGAAATACCAACATTAAAATGTATTAGGCCAATTCAATTTATTAAGCTCATTAATAAACATCTCTGTGTGTAACAGACAGTTAAATGCAGAATTCTGCAACTGTCTCCAGTCATTCAAAGTAGATCACGTCAGCAAACTGGCCTTCTTTGCTTCATCCCTTGAACCACAGTACAACTAGCTACCAAGTGATTTGACCCTCTCACAATAGGTGTCCACATCTTTTGGTTTCTTGATAAGTTGTAGTTCCACTGAATGGGGAATTAATAATTTAGTCTTGATGCTTTGAGTCAAACTGTTAAGAAGAATTTAAGTTTCTGATTTTCTCTAGAAATTATAGAAGGAGAACTTGATTATTGTGTTTAATTTCAAATGAAAGTGTAACTGATGGGTAAAAGTATTATTTGCTGTCTCCCATAGCTTAGCTTGCTGCATTAAAACATTAGTCCCCAGGGTGGCCCTATTGGAGGGTGCTTTTAGGAAGCCCTTGGGTTCCTGGGGACTTACTCTCGATTGGAGTAGTGTGACTCTGATTTCCTCTATTGTTCCTGCTTCTTGCTTCCTGGCTTAGGAGGTGAGCAGTTTGGTTTACCGCACGCAGACTCTCCACCACTGCCATATGGTACCCCTTCCAGAGGCCAGAGCACGTGATGAGCTGGCTCGTATTTGGACAGGAGCTTCCTGAACCATGGAAAAAAGTA